CTTTCAGGCCACCACGGAGGGTCTGTCGATCCGACTATACTTGTTGATATTATTTATGCTAGACATAATCGAATTTGAGTATTTAAAGACTGCCTGATTCTATGATGGAAAAGGCAGACTTTGACAAATAGTATTCTGTAACAAGACTGCAAAGAGTACTATTACAGTTAGCTAAACCTATACTTATACAGGTATTAAGAGACTACTGTGATAGAAATAGTGGTAGATAAGAGTCTACCAAATAGGAGTACTGTTGGTTAGGTACCTTAGTCAGATATACTAGATCATGTTGAAGATACATAGGTACTGATAAGAAAATAGTGGTTATCATACTGAGTAGGGTAATCCAAGTAGTCAATTTGGTACTTATTCTGAATTGTTTGATGGTGATATTAGGTGGAGACAACCTGTATAGACTTAGAGTCATTTACGCCAATTGAGATTTATTTTCATAGACAGAGATTTGTCTAGAATGACTCAAAGTATACTTGTTTTATTTATGACTAATAAGAGTAAAGTAAAGTAGAATAGAATTATGTGAATAATATTATATTGTTAAGGTCTCTTCTATGTTGCTTGATGATGTCAAAAAGCTTGAGAGATATTTTGATATTTATATCCCATATTTGAGTGCTTGTGGACTACATCTATCTCATATACAAATTGTATACCTTTCTAATATAGCTTGTAATGTTGGTTGCTTTCCAAAAGTGTGAATACCAGAAGACCTTGAAAACTATCACACCCTCTTCAATTAATTACGATTTTATTTCTTGGAAGACCTTCTTGCTTCAAATAGTAATTATCCAATAGCCAGAATATAACGATCCCCCTTCGGGTAGTTAATTCTTGGCGACAGGGAACGATACTTATCTTCATCTTCTGCTGTATAATAGTTCTTAGGCCTATGCCTACATTACTGATAGTACAAGACCTATGTCTTCTATCTGTAATGCCTACCATAAGCTTTCTCTAACTCTACCTCATATAAAGTATTCTTGTTGTAATAGCAATGAAGGTTGTAATAATGATAAATAGTGTAAATATAACCAGTCCGAGTACTCAGTTATTGGTTTTGGTTTATATTTTGTTTTAAGTATCGCTTTGATACTTGGTTTTGTTTTATGTTTTGTTTTAAGTATCGTTTTGATACTTGATATGTTTTTACTGAAGTGTATTGCTTGATATCTTTGATAAGTTTTGTTCATGCTAGACATGAACAGGTTTGTTTATTTAAAAAACTGCCTATTTCCATGATGGAAAAGGCAGACTTCGACAGATAGTATTTCAACATACTTGGTTGAACGGTTAGCTCTTTGTTCCTCAGTACACCCTTGAAGCCTCCTTTAGTTTGTAGCTCTTACCCGCTTTCTGATAGAGTAGGCCACCTGACAACCATCGTACTATTTACCGATAATGTGATTAGTACCTTACGAGCACGTTACAGTAAAGATGTTTTATATTTGTTAAAGTAATAAGTAGGAAAAGTACTTAGAATGTAATTTAATTTTATTTATACTAGTACTACTAACACTGGCATATGACTAGTCTCCTACATGCTCCTTAAAACCTACTATCTAAAATATACTACTGCAGAAAATTCTACCTCGCTACTGCTCCTTCCAAATATAAATTCAAAAATTGCTACCTATGTAGGCTCATGGGCACTGGTAGCGACTAGTGCTACCCTGGATTTACATGTCTTTCCAGCTCTCAACCTAACCACTGTCTCATAACCTTACTCCTATTCGCCGCCAATACAATCTGTCCCACATATTCAACAAAGGAAACATACAATCTATTCCAACAGCTCTATTTTCTCTTAAAATGTAAACCGAAATCCAAGCATCTTCCTGCCAAAACTAAACAATAAAAAGGGCAGCTGGGTACCTTCAATAAGCCATTTACCTTTGTCCATTGCAAGACTACTAACTTTCATATTATGAGATTCAACTCATCCCACAGCTGTTGTTGAGAGTGTCAAAACCTATCTTGACATGTCTGGAGGTACCGAGGCCGTTTCTCAAAGTGTTCGGCAAAGATGGCTAGTTTTTGGGTAGCTGTGGCGGAAATGCTTGTACTACAACAGGGATAATCACATTGCCATTGGTCAGGCAAGAAGAACCACTTCTTTAGCATGGTCACCCTTACTGGTAGAGTGCATTAAGTGCTGTTGTGTTTCCTTTTATACCAGGTATATGTTATTAGATCTCCTATCACTGTTACTCCGCCATTTCTCTCCACCATCAGTATACTATCAAATGGGTTACTTGCCACAACTAGTTCTCCGTCTACCGCCTTAATATGGTGAGAAATTTCTAGCCCCAACCACCTATGATCTATCCAGCAGAACTTCCACTTCGAGACTGCTAAATCCTTGTACAAGTCTTCATTCATGGGGT